AGTTGTACAAAAGTAAATTACCAAAGAGATGGAGATGGTTATGTCACATGCTTAAACAATTTTATATTCACTAAATACTCATTTAACAATGTTCAACATCCTTCTGCCTTTCTCTGTGGCACAGAAGGCTGTGCTGTAGCCAGGCTGTGTTAAATCATATGCTGACAGGAGCTGGGTTGTTACATTGAGCAGATGAAACTCCTGAGTAATTCCTAGCCTGTATCCTTTAATGAGGTTGGAGACCACTGCAGTTTAACATAATAATAAAACATTTTAATCAGTATTAAAACTTTAATTAGGCTTGTAATGATGCATGGTGGTTCTTGCAGCAAGCCTGGGTCAGTGAATCCCTCAGTGAGTGCCTTCAGTAACTGAAAACAAGCACACAAAAGGTAAAAGATGTCTGGGCTGTATGGCTGGTTCTAGAATGCAATTGCATCTTTCTGGAGAGGGGCAGTGACTTTCCTTTGGTGGAGGGGAGGGATTCCCAGGCCCAGTGATTGACAACCTGTTGTCTTCAGAATTTACTTGTACGTAACAGCTGAGACTAAGAAATCCTGACTGAAACAGTAATTATTTTTAAACAGACTTATTTTAAAAACGCAGTTTCTAATATTGCCAATGGAGAAGTTTAACCTTTTCATAGAAACTACCAAGTGCAATCTGGTTTGTGTGGGGTTTTTTATCCAGAAAGATGTATTAAGAGAGATTATCAGAAAGGTTTAACACTAAGGGTTATTCCAGGGACTGTAGTGCAGCATTCAGACACCAACCTGCTTCAAACAGTAAATCCAAGTGCCAAGGGCCGAAAGCATTTCCCAGCTCCAAGGGAGCAGCTCCTCCCTGCCCCCGTTTGAGACTGGGGCTGGGAGGAAGGGCTGCACCTCCCATTCCTGAGGTGCCAACTCTGAGAACCAGCAGTGGGAATGGCAGGGACAGGGCTCCTCCTGTGTGCTCCTTGGTGCCCAAAAGGACTTTGTGCTGCATGTGATCAGTGGGATTGTGATATAAATTACTTTTTTTTAGATTACAGAGACAAAATGCTATCAAGGAGCCAGGACTCTTTTAGGACAGAAAAGCCTTTGAGATCCATAAGTGTATTTTCATTTCTTGTTTCAGTGTTCTGCTGGTGGGATCTAACATAGTTATTTTATAATATGTTGTTGTAAAGAGATGTAATGACTATTGTATACTAAATAAATTGTGTAATTTGAAAGTCACTTTTTTTTGCTTGTTTATATGTTGGGATGGGCTGAGAAAGACCTGGTTTGGGAATCAGCTTTGTTTCAGTCCATATGAAGAAAAGCAAATTATTTTTCTCAAGCAAGTTTTGTCTTCTCAAGCTCGTTATATTGTGCATAGCACTGACTTTTGGAATCACCTTTGTGTTTTAACAGCTGGGCTTCCTTTGTTAGAAGCTACAGGTAATAGCCGTGACTTTTATCAGTCATCACCCCATGCATGTCAACTCCAGTAAGGTCAGTAAACTGAGGCAGTATATCCATCTAAAGAAATATTACTACTTTCTTTATTAAGTGTATTACATAGATACAAAATCATATATTAAATGCTTTGAGCACCAGGGACCTGCTTGTTTCCACATTGTAGCTCAAGTTTGTTATTTTTAATGAACAGAAAGGTGCATTTTTTGGGAGTGAAGAAGCACATTTCAAGACCTGTATGTGCAGGGCTGGAGATAAAACTGCCCATGTGTAGGACTGGTCTGAAGGGGGCTGGGGGGAATTTGTCACCAGCATTAATTAGGGATTAATATAATTGATGGGATGTCAGCCACTCACGGTGTTTTTGCATGGAGGGGATTCTGGGCTCCAGGGAACCTCCTCCTTTCAGTCCTCAGGAGATGGCCATGGGTTTTAACATTCTTGCAATTAAGAAAATGTTCAACTTTTTTCTGCCCACCTAATCCTGCTTCTTTACAGCCCTGTTTTTCCTCCTAAACCTGCTGGTCAGTAGGTCAGTCCTAAGGACCATCAGCTTTCCTATAGCTTGGCTCCATGTTATGTACTTGGAATGCTATTTTAACAGGCGAAGACCACAAAGATTAATGTAGTTGACAGGCAGCCAGATTAAATACTAATATCCACATGATTATTTAAATTTCCGACCTTTACAAACATTTTATGCTAAATAAAATGTTCTTACTATATGTTTTAAGTCTGTAAAGAACATGGAAGAAGATTAATAAAAATACTAGATTATTGCAAATCCCACTACCTAGGGACCCAATGGGGTTTTTTATTCAATATTTCTCCTTCTCCCCAACCCAAAGCTTCCTGTGGAAAGCCAGCTGTTCTCCATGGGAGCCATGGCAGTGCTGGGATAAGCCTTTCTGCAGTGGCACTGAAATATTTGTGTGTGCCTGTGCGAATGCAGAACAAGCGAGGATATGATTTCAGCAATTGCACAGTAAATAAAAGAGCAGCATGTAAATTAAAACAGATAAATTAAGTGAACTAATTAGTTATCTCTGGAAAGAGGAAGAGTAGGCTTTAATAGGGCATGACAGCTGCAAATGAGTGTGTCCTATTACTGAGATTGTATCTACACAAGTTCCTGGAGGAGTTTGGAAATGTTTCCTGCCCTTTTGTTTTAGTCTGTATGTTCTGTACAAGGTGGGGCTCACTGTCAGTGCAGAGGTTCTGGGGTGTTGTTTTCATATTTGGTTACAGAGTAGGGCCACAGCTGTAGGAAGGAAGCAGCAGCAGGGCAGCAACACTTGGAACAGCACTGAGACATCTGAACATCAGCAGCTCTGTGCTGCTCTGAGGGACACCTTTGTCACCTTTAGGGTTCCTGGGCACCATTTGTGCTTGTTGTTACTCTAACAGGGACCAGTTCCTCAGGGATGGAGGAAGAGTTTTGACGAGGTCTTGTTCCCCTGGGGAAACCCAAAGTGGTTTTTGGGTGGGTAACGATTCTGAGCCCACCAGCAGAAGCTTTTCAGGCAGCACAGCACCCATGACTCACATCTGTGGAAGCATCTGATCAAAACTGAGAGAGAAATAATTTAACACAGTCCACCCTTCAGTCATCCTTAAACACAAACAAGGCAGAGACACCCGGAACAGAAGGCTGGTTTATTATTTATACAGTGCCTGACATAGGCAGGACACTTCACAGGCAAATAAAGACAGTGTTGGCCCCAAGGAGCTTATAGGCTAAATTAAATTAAACCAGCCAAAGCAACAGCATGTCCATAGGTATGGGAAGAACACAAGGTATGTAGACAAAATTATTGCTGTTTCAGGAAGGAATAGATTTTTGTGCACAATATATATTTAGTTCATTTTCCATACCCTGTTTGTGGCTGCTGAGATGATGGAATACAGGAGTTGGCAGACTGGACTGGTGAACGCTGCAAGATGTTTCAGCCAAGGTTTCCTCCCAGGCAAATAAATGTGTCAGTAAAATTACAAAATCACAGACTGTACTGCCTGTGAACCAAAACCATTGGGTGTGAGTAAAAACTGGATTTAGGTTTTCCAGAGGACAATGCCCACCACCTGCAGTGTGTAAGAGTGTTTAATGGTACACTCAGGGTTTTCCAGAGTGGCACAAGTGCACATGAGAACAAGGTACTTTATGAACATTTCTCATTTGGGAAACATGCAAACTGAGCTGGCCTGCAGACAGCTTTCACCTACTTATGAGTTTTAACAGATGTATAAAAATAAAAGCCAGACCACCCAAAACAAGCTACTGTGAGCAAAAGTAGTTTCAGTGTCTATTACAATACATTGTTTCATGCTTTGTTTTAATTAAACATTATTAGAAACTAGGATATATTCATATTATTAGCTGGTAATGTATAATGTACATATTACATATAGTTTACATATTATAATAGATTTAATTTACATATTCATAAAAGAAACAGCACAGCTTAAGATTTATGGTTTGCTGCATTGTACTCCATTTATCTGTACATGTGGTCCCAATTTAAAAATAATCAAAATTAATTTAGTGGCACTTTCTCTCTTCCAAATATTGTCAAGTTTAAGAAAAATCCAGCATACTAGCTGGACATTAAATGGTTTCAAAAAGGGACTGATTGATTTAGAGCATAATTTTCCACCCCCTGCTACTGCTGTTAGTTTTTCCCTATGTGTCTCTGTGTCCAGATATGTCCTGCAATGATTCTATCATAGGAGATTTAACAAAACATGAGCGGCACAGTTGTAGATGCAAATGGCACAGTTCAGGCTGGTTTAGGTTTAGTTTGGCGGCTCATTAGGAGGGAGAGATTGTGGTGAACTGTGGTGTTTGCTACTGAACTTCCTGACCTTTGAGGCATGTAGCCAGCATACCTGGCCTTTTCCTTTGGAAAATTACGTAGTTGTAAGCAGCTTGGTTCATGTGTTATGCCTAAATCCAGTTTCTGCCCTTGCATGGCGGAATAAAGGGATTTTATCACCTTGTAAGTGAAGTTCAGTTCATCCTTCTGCTTCTTTCCTTTTCCTGTACCCCTGCAGTGGCACCTGCACTGTGATCAGTGAGCAGGGCTGTCAGTGGGCACTGTGGGAAACAGGAGGGATATAATACACCACGGACTTCATTATATGAGAAAAAGACAAGGTGCTTTTTTCTTCAAATGACTGTCAAAGCACCAGAAACAGCACATCCAGCATGCTTCCCTCAGCCCCAGCACACCTCGGGCCGTGCACATGGATCCCTCAAGAGTCCTGCATTACTTCAGTGATAAAAAAACACCCGTACTTCTTAACCACAGTACATGAATGACTGCATACACCAGATTCTCTCTTTATTCCTCCCACGAGGTTTATATACCAAAATGCAAGTATCCAGCGTGTCCTCAGTTGAGCTCCTACCCACCTTTGCTGCCCAATGTGCCTCCTTACGGGAATCTGAATCCCTGAGGAAACAAGGAGAAAAGGCCGGGTGGGGCTAATACAGAGCAGGAGTATAAAAAACTGTGCCTCACCTTTGCTTCCAGAACTGAAAAGAGCAGCCTTGGGGCGCTACAGGTCTGCTGCCTCTCTGTGCGAGTACAGCTGCCTTAGTTTCTCGAACTTGGGTCCCCACTCGTGGATGTCCTCGCCGGCGCCGCCGCGCAGCCCCGCGGAGCCGCGGGAGCCGATGGAGCCGATGGAGCCGATGGAGCCGATGGAGCTGAGGGAGCCGCGGGAGCCGATGGAGCTGAGGGAGCTGAGGCTGCCGGCGCTGGAGCCGCCGCCCTCGGTGCAGAACCGGCGCAGCGAGTCGGGCGGCGGGCCCGGCGCGCGCTCGGCCGCCCTCAGCAGCGCCCGGCCCAGCCGCGCGGGCGGGAGCTGCTGCTGCCTCCGGAGCGCCGGGCTGCCCTGCACCGACACCTGCAGCTCCGCCATGTCGTACGCGTCCTGCGGGGAGAAATCGGGCACAGGGAATTAGTGCTCTCCGTCGGGCCCGCGGCTTCGTGCTCTGCTGGGAATAAAGAGGAATGATCGCGAGTCTGTCTGCGGGGAGCACCTGGAGGGCTGGGTGCTCTGCCAGCTGCAGCGCACCTGAGAGCCTGTGAGGAACCCCTGTGCACGCTGCGCTGCTGCGCTCAGGGTCAGAATCACGTCTGATTTCATCCAAAAGCTAAATAAATGCGACAGAAACACCCCAACTTTTGTTCTGAAATTCAGATCCAAACTGTCTTATCATGACACTGATCCCAGAAGTGTGGCAGAAGAGGTGAGAAAGGCTATTCACAAACAGCACGCTTAAGAGATCTTTCTGCAGAAGTAGTTCAAAAATGTACTGTGATATCTGATAAAATGATACCAGTCCCTGGAATAATGCCTAATTATGTTACATGGCAGTGGCACAATTGTAAAAGCCAAGTAAAACTACCTACTCCCAAAAAAGTCACCAATTCCCTCCTTGCTCATCCACAGTAAATGCTTTCTGGGAATTGTGCCACAACCTCTGGCACAAAGCTGCCAATGCCAATGGTTAATGGCATTCACTGATCAGAATCTTTGTGCCACCTGACCCCAGCATCCTTCAGCTCCCTACAACCCAAAGGTTGTGTCCCTGGACTGATTGACAGGGCAAAGTAGAACGCAGACAGGTAGAGGGGGGCAGAGTTCATCAGAGCAAACATAACTATTTGTATTGCTAATACTGTTCATGGTAACAGGAGCCATCAGTGACAGAGGTGTGGAATCAGCACTTTCCCAAAGATTTCTTTAGCTTTCCAGCATGTGGCATTGTGCATAACCATGTTGTAAGAGATTAACCCAGGTAATGTCAGTGAGCTTTGCTGAATTTCCCCTGGAGGCTGAGAACAACTTAAATTTCCCCCACCTGCAATCAAGAAGCTGCCAAAGTGGCAGGATGGGGTTTGGAACAGGAGCTGCTTATTCCCATTCCTCTAGAGACTCAGGAGTGCTGGTGATGAACACTGAGACCTGCAGCCCAAACCCCTGCCTTAGGCATGTCCTAAGTTAGTGCAAGCCCCAGTCCAGCCCCACTCTGAGCATGGATACCAGGAGAATCCGTGACATGGAGCAACTTTCCATTGTGCACAAGTTAAATGGGAGCTTGTTCCAATACAGACTTGAGGATCATCCCTTCACTGAACTGAGTGATAATAAAAGCATCCTTCACTGCTACTAATTGTTTATTAAAATGACACATTTCTTCTGATAATAAACCTTTCTTGGCTGGCCATCCACAAACCCAACTCAAGCCCTGCCTCTGTGTCCAGAGCTGACTTTTAACAACATCTGGTGGTCAGCTGAGTTCAGTGTGTAATCGACAATGCGTTGACCTCCTGCAATTTTTATGAGCTCCTAATTTCTCTGGGAGAAAATTTCATTTATTTCAGATGCAGGAACTCCTTCATGTGACAACTCCTTGTCCTCAGATCCCTACCATCCACAAGCATTACAAAAATGAATCTCTCTTATCCAAGCAGCCTTACAATCCTTTGGTTGAGGTAACATTAGAATACAACTAAGGTGGTGTAATTCTAGGTATTTTCGGGACTGGTTTGTTTGTTCGGGTTTTTTAAATCTAGACAAACAACTAGGTTTTAGCTTAAAAAGTTTCAGCTGCAATCCCAGCAACTGTTAAATCTGAGTAATTTAGGAAGAGTACACAGAACCCAGAGAGGCTTCACTCCAAGCACTGTTTCTTCAGGCAGAGTAATAACCTCAGATGGAGATCATCAAGTCACTAATTTGGTTCTACTGCTTAAAATAAGGAGTGCATTTTAAGAACTCTCCAAAAGTAATTAAACATGTCATACAGTAACTGTAGATTTCCTCAAAGAGACCTTCTGGGTGTAAAATTGCAAAATATTGCAGAGGAAGTTAATCTGATTAAGGAAAACAGGCTTTATAGCTGTCTATGTTATCACATGGGAATTGTCTGTGTTTATTACATTCCCACTAATTCACCAAGAAAATAAGGATACTCTACAAGTAAGGATATTTTTAAATCACTGGCTTTTTTTCACCTTCACACTGGCAGCATGACTATTATTACCTCTGCAGAGTCACAACACCCCTTGAATCCGTGAAATGAACAATTAGCAATGAAGTTTCTTACCTTTTATAAACACAGAACGCATCTATAGGTCAATAAATAATCTATTAAGAGTACTTATAAATAATATTCACTATTTTCCTTCCAAGCTCTGCCTTTCACTGACACATGAAAACTTTAGAACAGCCAGCAGGAATGTTAATAATACCTGCTTTGGGTATAATCTGCTCTACTCTAAGTATGAACAGCTTGTGTTCAGTGGTGTATTTATCTCCAAAACACAAAAATGCAGAAAGGTTCTTCCACAACCACCACATGCTCCAGGGCCTCAGAGGAGCCAATTCAGCACCTCCCCTTCCCAACAAGGGAGGTGTGAACACCTGCTGTTGGGAGCAGTCTCTGGTAAAGCCTTGGCCATGAGGAACAGTCACACCAGGCTCTTCCAAGCCCTTGGAGCTCCAGCAGAAATGAGCCCTGAGAACCTCAGTGTCTCCTGAGCCCCAAAACCAAACCCAGCAGCTGTTCTCTACTGCTAAACCCACCCTACAGGCTCCTATCAACATGCACTGCCTTTAAGACAAATTAAAAATGGATAGGCACTTATCTCTGCTTAGGAAACATGCACCCTCATCCAAATAATTCATTTGCCAACTGCAGGGCTGAATCAGCAGAACGAACACTGAGGACAAAGCACAAAATGCATTTTCCTTAGCATCATAAGGCAACAGTCCCCTCTTAATTGTAACATAACAACGATCCTTACTTCATCTTGCTCCCCACCCCCTTCTTCATTGTAGTTGAGGATGTTTTCCCTGATGTCCTCCAGATCCTCAGGATGAGCAGATCCGTGGTAGACACCTCCGTGCAGACCCTTGCGCGTCTTCCAGTGAGCCCAGAGGAAGGCGGCGCTGAGCAGAGCTGTGGGGACACAGAGCAGAGTCATGCAGGCACCAGTAAACCCCAGTGCTGCACTCTGGGCATCTCAGCAAGTGTCTGGGGTTTGCACTGTCCAGTGTGGTGAACATCAAACACGGAAGAAGAAAAGCCTTTAAAGAGTGTTTTGAAACACCCTTTAAAGCCCAACTCAAAGTTGGTCAAAGACCAAGTGGTGTCTCCGATCTGTCTCTGTCCTGTATGGAGTTGAACTTTGTCACAGAAAATGCATTACAGAAGGGTACAAAGAAGAAATAACATGTTGACAGTAACATACACAATTACACACAAATGAAATACAGGAAGACACAAGACAGAAGAGGAAATTACTTTTAGATGTTTTACTAGAAAACAAGAATCAGGCACATTTTGCCTTAGCATTCATTAAACATTTTTCTTAAATGCTGAAGTGCATTTACAAAATTAACAAGCTTCAACATCAGATACTGAACATTCTGTAAATAGAAACTGGTGCATCACCAACTCTATAAAAATCAATAAAAGCTCAGAGTAAGACCTCAAAGCATTGAATACCATAAATTAGCAATGCAATGAGCTAAAGAAACTAGAATCTCTTACAGAATATCTACGTGTCAGCAGTTCTGTGGAGCAGTATCTGAATACCTTGGGACTGAAACTGGGGTACACAGAATTCATGCCCTGCACTCCTCTAACAAAGATCTACTATCTACCTCATCTATCTGGGATGCCAAGAGCTGTAATACCACTTAGCTTCCCACGAATTTGCTGCTCATATTTGCATGGCAAACATAGTATCTAGCAGAGTTGGGGAAAACTATGGTATTTTCATACTCTTACTTACTACAACTTCTGAACAAAACTGCATTAACACTAACAGCCAGGAGAAAAATCCTATGTCTTTACTCAGGCAAACTTCCATAGCATTTGAATAAACAAGGAACACCCTAAAATGTGATCTTTCCTCACTAGTAATCCCTTTGGTTTTCCTCTTTAAGATCCAATACCTAAGCCTGAAAATGGCAGAGGAAGACAAAATCAGCTGCTTAGGAGCTGGGACACAACTGGCAAGACACAAAGCCTGCTCCTGCCTGACCACTGTATTCCTATCAGACAGGAAATTTCTCCTAGACTGAAAAATCTGTTTCATACTCAGCAGTATTTTAAACAATGCTTATGTGGTAGCAGTTTCCACTCTTGCTGTTCAGTTGTATTTGCTTCTAATTATGCATCTGAACAGTTTCTCAACAATGATGTGAAAATGTGAAGAAAACAAAACTGCAGACACCTTCCGTAGCTCACAAATGTTGATTCACTTAGGCATGGATGCACAGAGGGATGAGAAATCAGTGATGGGACCACAGTAAAGGAACAAAGGCAGAGCTGGGTCTCCCTCGGGAGTTTTCGGCAGGAGATGAGGCGATGGTTGCTCAGGACAGGTGGGCACGTGCGCTCACCACAGGTAATACAAGATGTAGTTGCCGTAGCTACCTAGGAGCGCCAGGAAGCAGACGCAGATGGCGAAGAGGGAGGTGAAGCTGAGGCCCGTGTCCTTGTGGAAGATGGCCAGGGTGATCTCGCAGTGGCGGCCGGTGTAGCCGTCGGGGCAGTGGCACTGGAAGGTGCTGGGGGACAGGGACACGCAGGTGCCGTAGTTGCAGGGCCGCTCGGCGCACGCCGTGTACACGCACTGCTGGCCTGAGGCGTTCTCCAGGATCATGTGTCCTGCAGGGCAGCTGCACACACCAGGGCAGAACGGCACCGTTAGTCTGGGAGAAAGCAGCCGTGACAGGCAGCACTGAAGATTTTAAAACACACTTTGGTGATGCTTTTTGCACGGTTTCCAAAGCAGCTACTAGGAGTAAGTTATGTGAAATCATGACAGGTCGTAACCTTTCCTGAGGTGGCCATAGCAGGAGCTCCACAACTTCAGACCCAGGCTCTGAAAGTCTGGGGCTTTCAGAACTTGAGTAGTTCCACTGCCTTCTGCAAGATTATCCTTGTGACAACCAGCCGGGTTGGCCTCTGCAGTTCTGGCTAGGCAGGACATGCTGCGCTATGTTCTTTGAGTTTCCAGAGTTAGAGAACTCCATTTGTGTGGACAGTGGCAGTCAGGAGTGTGTGCAAACATTAAGGTGTGTGTAAGTAAAGTGTTCATTTGCACACCACAAGCAACAGGAATTAGTGTTGTCCTGACTCCAGCCACAAATACAAGAATCTGAGCTCAATAGTGTGGTGTTCCTAAAGCAGCTGGAGGAGCCTGGGAGGGAACAGACTCAATAGCCTGGGGCAGCGCAAGAAATCAGACCCTCACAAGAGAAAGCATTGACACTGTAAGCACAGGTTTCACAGCACAGCCAGGGAACTGTGTCACTCCAGCTCACACACCCTCCTGTCCTTGTTCCAGGGTTTACAAGCATTCTGGATTTGGTGCTGCTCTTTAAATGGGTTCCATTAGACAGGCAGCTGAACTTGCTCCATAATCCCTGGAGCCAAGCTGATTTAGCTGATTTATCAGCTGCAGTGGTGTCTCTAAGGACACAGTAACCTGCTCCCTGTGCAGGTGTCCAGCTTTGTGTGCCACTGTGGCTCTAGGGATTTGATGAGATTGCCAGTGCCAGCCTTCAAGCTGCATACTTCAACTTCCACCCTTTCCCACCTCACTCTGAAGGGTTTTGTGCTTCTATTTCCACCAATTACCTGCATTCATGCATCATCCACAAATCAATACAAATAAATTCCTGGTTGCAAGGGTTATTCCTACAGGCCTCCGAAGAACAGCCTTCTTTGATGCCTTGGGCACTCAATACTGACACCAGCTCTTTCCCATGAGTGTCCAGAGGGATTCTGTAGTTGTTAAATCTGACATCCTTCATACATCCTACAGCAAGACACAAAGAGACAGTTTTAAAAACCATTCAGCAAGAATCATTTGAAGCAGCTGTATGATTTGGCAGTTTATACTTAACAAAGGACACAGGCTATCAAAGCTTAAATCCATGACTGAATTAACTTAAACTCTCATAGCATTTTCATTCCTTCATTCAGTCCTTAATTCTTGGACTGAATTTGCTGAGGTTTTAGATCAAGATTCCCAACGGTTTCCACAAGAATCTAGTGCTGCTGCAGGTCTGTGCTGGTTTTGGCTAGGACAAACTTAATTGTCTTTCCAGGGGCTGGTGTGGGGCTGTGTTTGGATCTGTGCTGAACACAGGGTTGATGACAGGGAGCTGTTTCTGTGTTTCTGTCGTTGCTGAGCAGGGCTCACACAGAGCCAAGGCCTTTCATACTTTTTGTGGGGCCATGCTGGGGAGGGGGCTGGGGCTGCCTGGTGGGCTTGGAAGGGACACAGCCAGGACAGGTGACCCCAAGTGACCCAAGGGATGTTCCAGACCATGTAGGATCATGCTCAGGATATGCAGTGAGGGCAAGAAGGAGGAAGGGGAGATGTTTGGAGAGAATGTGTTTGCCATCCCAGGCAACCAGGTAACATTCCATGGGATGTGGCCCTGCTCTCCTGGAGGTGCTGAACACCTGCCTGGAATTCCTGCAGGGAATTCATTCCATGTTTTGCTGTGCTTGTGTGCATGGCTTTTGCTTTCCCTATTAACTGTCTTTATCTCAACCCAGGGGTTTTCCAGCTTCTACCCTCATGACTCCTTCCCTGATCCTGCTGGTAGGAGTGAGTGAGAGGCTTTGAGGGGCTGGAGGCTGGCTGGGGTTAAATCATGACAGCCTAAGGTAGTCAGTGGAATATGTACCCCTCCACTGTGATTTCCATATAAAATTCCAAATATTGTGGAGAATCTGTTACGTGTGGATAAGCTGTTCTGTTCTTCAGTGCACCAGTAAAAACTGTTTGTCTGATTTTAAATTGTAGCTTATGACTTACCTTTATAGTATGAAGAGCAAACCACAAATAATGGTGGGAGAGTCTTCAATCAGGGACAGAAAATTTGTACTGAAGATGTGTGACATTAACTGACATTAACTTTGTATGCACGAGATGCCTCAGCATGAAAACATATACTTTGATTAATTAAGTACATTTTATGACTTTGAAGTCCTTAAAGTTTCAGCTACTTAGCAGCAACATTAATAGCCCTAATTAAAATTATCTTCATGCAACCATTTGACTTCTTTATTTACTTGAAAACAAACACTATTACTCCCATAAATAAAAAATTCAAAATATGCTCCCTAATTCATATCATAAAATTTATTTATTGGAATACTTCTAGTAAAGCAATAGAAAACAATCTTTTTCTAAATAATTTGTGATACACTTAAGTTGTAAATTATTACTCTATTTAATTTCTCTCCGCTCCCTTTTATATTACTAACTGAAGTACTTTTGTGTAGTGAAAAGATGACCAGCTTGCTTTGAATGGATTTACTAGGACCTGGTTAAAGAGGTGAAGGGCATGGGAGAGTGGTGACCTATAGACACCAGGCAGGTTTAACCAGCAGTGATGTGTGATCCTTAGCAATAAAACCTGTGCCAATTTGCTTTATTTACACTGTGGGTTTAGGCAAAGGCCAAATTTCCAGTTGAGCCCAGCATAAAGAGCTGCCATGGATATCCCAAACTTCCAGTTCTTTATATTTCTCGAACTACTAATCTTCCAGGCTGGAAACTGATTTGCTTTTAACAGACACTGTGACCTTATCCACTCAGTTGCTAAAAATTCAGACTTTTAGCTCTAATTCAAGAAACCATTTCTAATTTTAGTTAATGTTTTGACTGAGTGCAAAATCCAGTAATACCAAGGTAAGTGGGTGCTATGCAATGCACATATAAAACGGAAAAATTCCTTTTAGCATAGGAACAGATGTGTTTGGGAGGGAAGGAGAACTGCCAAATGGACTGAGCAGAACCATGCACTGAACCAGCTCTAAGGGAGGGAGCCATGCACAGTCTGTCTGGGAGAAACTTCTAGATCTCCAGGTACAAAATCTCTGCAGCCAAGGCAAGAGGTGACCATCATTATTCCAGGTCCAGTAGCCAAGTGTATTTGCAGGCTGTACCTTCTCCTGGTCAGAACAGCTTATCCATCCCTGTTGCAAAGTGTCACACAGGCAATCTATGTACTTTGGGCTCTACATAAACAAGAAAGTTTCCTATACTCTGTCTTTATTTTTACAGGTCCATATTATGAACAGTGGGATCGAGAATTCCTACCTTGAAAACTCCTGTTTTGATTGAATGGGTAGGTGTTTCCAAGGACCAAGCTGCTGGGGTCAATGACAATCTCTTTGTATATTCCTGCTGCTTTAGTAATCTCTCTCTTTCCACCTCCCTCATAAAGGCGAAGAGTAAATTCATTTTCATTTCTCTCCAGTGTGATGTGATGCCATTCACCATTATCAATGTGGTAGGAGGGAAGGCTTACAGAATAGTTTCCATCGCCCAGATTGTATGAGACCACTAGGAGTCCTTGAACAACCTTGTGGATAATTAACAAATAGCAAGAAAGAAAAGTCATTGCCTGGCATTTTGTATTGACCTGTAACTTCAACTTTAAAGCATTTATTTAAATTTAGGGTATGTTTACACTGCACATAGGTATAATATAAAAATACTGCAGGTGCTACTGAATTAAGCAACCTGAATGTGGTAGCAATACACTCACAGTAGTATATTGCTAGTAGTATATGTAAGTCACCTTAGGAGTAATTTTACCCTGATCTCTCTTGCACAAATTTATGAGGTTCTTCTAATAGAGTCTGGTGTATCATAGCTACAGTGACAGCTCAAACCAACATGGCTGAAGAACTGACTCACTCAGTGGTGTGTATAAAATGAGAAGGTTGTCACTTTGAGAGCCTGACATCATTAGAACTGCCACAGGCACCTTGCTTGGCAGAGTCTGCACTACACAGAATGGGCTACATGGTTCAAAAGGACACCAGGTACACACCCTATTCATCCAATTCTGTATAGGATCTGCATTTCTCTGCATCTGGCATCAACGGGATACCACAGCTGAGTGGTCAGTATCTCAAGTAAAGATCAGATGTATATAGCCACAAAACCAATTCCAGACTCTTCGGTGCTTAGCATAAGGTTTTGCTCTGTTTCCATCTCTTAAGCGAGTGTTCCTCTGAGCTGTCCGTGGCTCTGGTGTCACTGTCTGTGAGGGTGGCCTCACCTGCAGGGTGATGTGCTCGTCCCTGGCCCGGGACAGCACGGTGGCGATGACGCCGTGCGGCTGCCGCGTGCGCACCAGGGCCTGCAGCAGCGTCCTGCGGGCAGACACACTGACAGGCAGCTGGTAGCGGATGTGGCTGCCTGCCTCAAACCTGTACTCCTTGGCCACTGCAAGGGAGAGAAATCTTTAAACCATCTCCTTGTTATTGCCCTTAATGTCAGAATAATAAGTGTTGAAAGTAAAAGGAAACAATTGCGATGCACAGCATGGATCCGTGAGACAATTTGTCCTTTGGGACATACTCCTGTATTTATTTCCACAGCTTCTCCAGTCACTCTCATGCTTTATTTCCCTCTGTAAAGAGGCATTCTCCCACCCAACTTGATCCTGCTAATAGCTCCTCCTTACAGTGCTCACAAGGGGTGACAGCTGGGAAGCAGCATCTCTGGGCCAAGACAAGAGCCTGTGGACCAAGTACCACAATGAAATTTCAGAACCTGCTATTTTATAATTGTATTTCTGCTGCAAACTTTGGCTCCATGAGAGTTAAAAATCCTACTATTTCCAAAGCATAGATCCTTAAGCCAGCAGAATCTCCTCCTGACACCAAGAGAGCAGTGATTTCTAATTCCAGTTGCATGGTTCTAGTTCTTCACAGAAAGTGGTACTGGCACACTCATATTTTTTAGGTTATTAGATATTTCTGAAAGTGTAAACAGATGCAAATCAAACAAATGTAATAAAAAAACCACTTTTTTCACAATTTCTTGTCAGGCAGCCATGTCATTATACAGTCATTGCACAAACACCCTCAGGATTAAAGAAATTATCCTGTACTGAGAAAGCAATTTCTCAAAGGGAATTAGAAAAGAAATTGTTGACAATCACAGGCAACTACACTGCAACATGGCTTTACAAAATGTAATATAAAACCATCTCAACAATCATTACCTGCAAATATTTGAAGTTTCCTGTACTGTAAAATTTAGCAGCCTACACTAACGAAACAGAAAAGCAGGGTTCACCTTTATCACATCGATAGCCGTGGTAGCCTGGCAAACAGTGACACGCAAAGGAGCCCCAGTCCCCAAGGCACCTCCCATGGGCACCACAGGAGGAAGATCCCATGGTCTCACAGCTCCCATCCGTCAGGGTGCAGCCCGGGAAGCTGTTCAGGGACTCTGCGGGAAACTGAAGGTCATACACCTTCAAGAGACAATTTGCGATGCAAAATGTTATTTGAGAAACATATTTTTAAACAGAAATAGCTGCACCACTTCACTGTCTGTTCCTCATCTGCATTGCTTAAGTTACTAAGTTTGCTTTTTGACATTCAGACTTCAGCTGATTTTATCATGAGCATATTTTGCCTTTGAATAAAGTCAACTGACTATGAAAACAAAAAAAACCCTAATACTTCCTAACAAGGCAGACAGCTGGCATAAATATACTGTTATACAACTGGCATTCAGAAGTTCCCTGAATGCACAAAGAAGCTTGGAAAACAGATGCATGAAACAGGGGATAAGCAAACACACAGCTCCTGCCTCATTCATACATCTCCTTCTATTGAGAAATAACTTTTTAAGGTACTAATTCTAATTATCACAGAAAAACCCAGAATTTTCTTGTATTTTACACTGATCTGTGTAGGCATTGGATATATTAATAGAAGCAGATGTTTCATGTATAATACGAACAAATCTCCCAAAAGCTGAATAAAGAAGTTTTTTCTCTGCTAAAGCAAACATTACTCTGCTCTTACCTGAGTATCCAGGATGAAATTGCGCAAGCAACCAGAAAAATGTTTGTGTAGCAACTGTGGATAGGAATATGGTAATGACTCTTTCACACCACCCAGCTGGAGAACAGGGTTCACATTCAAATACCTTTAAAAATCATATCAATAATAAAAATAGATGTGCATCTACCTTCAAGCATAGGCAGATAAATAAAAAAATAAATACACCGCTTTTCCAAATAACAAAGGCTTTATAACATAACAGTAGAACACAACTATTTTATCTTCTCTCTCTGAAATAAAGCCCTTTATTTTAAAGGGTACTTTTTAAACATGACAGTGAAACCTGCTGGAAGACACTATTACATTTTGGATACGTTTGCATTCAAATCAGAAACAGCTGTGATATTCTACACACCATATTCTCCTTCAAGTGCTCTGTGTGTACATAGACATCCTATGCTGTAGGAATACTACAAAAAAGGCTGTTCTGTGTATGACAAAACTCAGAAATATAAAAGTTGGGTCCATGTGGTCTAAAAGGCATGGTAAACATGTCCAAGTTCTGCACTTCATCTCTCCAAGCCAAAGAACTCCATGCATTTTAGACCTCATACTTTCTTTTTCCCAGAGTTATCAATTAATTTATTTTGCTTTCATTTGTCCTTACATTTTTCCCTTTCTTTGTGCTCCTTTCATGACCAGGAGAGCTCCATGCAGCTGTGGACAAGGCTTAATCCCAATGCTCATCAGAATGCTTGCTTGGATTATCTATTCCACAGCTGAAGTATCTTTGTTAGTACAAACATTTCCCTAAAATATAACCTGACTATTCCTTACTGTAACTTTAGGCCCTATACAGAAGAGATTGTCTAAATCCTCTTTGTACCATTCTTTTATACACACAGAGACTTATCTCTCTCCTTAGTTTTCCTTTCTTTCTGTTAACTGACCTCAATTCCTTCATTCTTGATTCTTACTCTCAGGGTGAGTTGATCAGTCACTGCTCTGCTCTGGACTGTACCCAGCTGCTCCTTGTCCACCCTGCACTGTGGGGCACCAATCAGTCAACTGGCCTAAATTTGTGAGATTTTAAAGAGCAGGCTCACAGTGACTTGATAAACAGAGAGAAATCCCATAAAAGCTCCAGTAATAGCCACAGAGTTTTGGGGTTGACAATTAGTACTGCAACACTACTCAGTGGAAGATTGGTTCCTTAAAATTTGTTTAGTTCTTTGAGGTCCAGGCTTGGTGAGAAAAGAGGAAATGCTTTTTATGCTCCTAACCATCAATAACTCGGCTTCAGTCTAACAGGTCAAATGTTCACAGGCTTAGAAAGAACTGCCTGTCGGGGAAGTTCCAGGAACGTACCTTGCTCTCCGTGGGACAGACCCCAAGACTTCGCAGTTTGTGCGATCTTCAGTGGACAGCCAGCGGCCAACGCCTTCGATCTCGGACAGCGCGGCGGCGCTGCAGCCATCCAGGGTGAAGCGGACAGCCTGCGCCACACACAGCACACCCAGCTGCCTCCTGCTGCACCACAGCCTCAGCTTCTACCTCCTGCACACTATCCAGCAAAAAGGGCTGGGGTGTTCCCTCTTCTGTTTAACCATTAGAGCTAAAATGGAGCCATTTAGCAAAAGTAGGCACTTCTCAACTTTGTTTGTGCTTCTGAGTATTTTAACTACTTACACAAGACCTATAACTGCATTTGCAAGTAAATAAATATCTGCTTTTTGTGCATAAGTAATGGATTCCAGTGGCCACATTCCACATGTGCTGCAGCAGAGCTTAGAAAAGGTAAAGATTGCAGAATATGGATTACAACATCAGTGGATGTGGAATTCACAATAAAGTCATCCCAAAATTTCTATTACTCATCAAATCTACACAACCAGTTAGGACAATACCTATTGTCTGTTCTTTATTGAAAGGCTGTTCTTTCTACCCTCCTTTCTCTGCACAGGGAAATATTTTTAGAAATATTAATATCCTGAAAGAAAAAAAATCCAGTAACTGACCTGACCATTGGTTCTGACTTCCAGTCGATGCCACTTCTTGTCAGCTACATTCAGGTGACTTGGAAACTGCAGGACCACAGAACCTGAGCCATGGCTCATCTTCAGCACAGGAATACCACCAGAGAGTTCTAATACAACATGAACAAGAAATTCCACATCAGCTACAAAATGTCACTTTTGGGTATCTCAGCAGTTAGTGACTGTGTTGATTTAATGGTTATTGCTAGTCACATACAGGGGGGTCACTACAGAAATAACTAGAATTATACCGTATGTCTTCTATTAAGCAGAAGTACTCATTCAGTATATTATTTACTTATACACTTTTCATTATTCTACTTCTCTGTCAAAACACTGAAACTAATTCCTGAGAAGCAATCTGCAATTTTATGATGCTCTAAAACAATTAATATATGTATGTTTCTTCTTTCTCATCTTCTAGTCAAATTTACAAGCAACTGCAAAGCAAGGAAAAAAAGAGGTAAATTATTAACTATACAACCACGTTACCTTTCAATTAATCAGGACTATATAAAATGCCAACCATACTTTTCATCTTGTACGTTAATTTACAAAAAATAAGCAGCAGTAACCTTTTAAATATGTGTCAACGTAAAGCATTAAGTTCTACTTGTAGATTAATCTTCCCACAATGGCACGTGGGGCTGGATTCATCCATCACATCATTGCCAGTTTAAAAAAATCTGCAAAATTGCCCCAAGACCAAAGGGAGTTTAAGTGGATTTCTTTTCTCACTAAACTAGGTAAGAATGACATGCAACTAAGACTGCACTACTCATGTAATACCTATCTTCAAAGCACCTAAATTCCTTTATAGCACTACAGATTTCTAGGCAGATTGTGTGTGTGTGTGTGTGTATATATATATATATATATATATATATATATATGTTTTGCTGTCCCCTTCATTTCTACAACTCTGTGATGAACCCAAAGCCAGAGGGGCAGGCTCCAAAAATAGACATCAAAGGAGAAAGACTTGTTAGGAAATGCTTCAAAATATTTTTACACCACAAAATAAATTACCTCATTAAATAGAAAGACAGAATCCATAGTCTAATTGTTACACTGGTCACAAACAATCCATTCCAAAAAGACATTTAATTTTTCCACACCCTTTTGCAGATGTACCTATTGCAATGAAGTTTTCTGTACTCCCTGGTTCTGGATTCGATAAAGGGCCACTGTATAGTAAAAGTCCATCTGGAACCACAGTAATAAACTCTAGAGAGAGAGAGCTTTCAAAACAAGGTCTGATGGGACGAAACCATGCATAACCATTTCCATGGAAACTGTGCTTAGTCTGCTGGCAGTCTGGTCCATGAAAGGAAGCAGGACAAAGACATCTGAAAGACCATAAAAAAAAGAAACAGTCAAAATTCACCCATGTTCAGCCTTTTTTTTGTTTTGCATGCAGCAAATGCAGAACTTAAATCACAGTTTAAAAATCAGCAAAACTCAGATTTTAGCAGAATCTTAGGTGTGTTTGGCAATTATTAAAATGCTCTAAGAATACAAAGTCTTTTTGTTCCTTATACTAACCCCCTCAAAAAAAAAAAAGTATTTTTGAGGCCATGTTTTTGAGAACAATGAACTTTTTTTCCTAAATAACACAGAACATCAAATATCAATTTATTCCAGAGTGAATTCAGGGAGGTTAATTCCTAGCTGGAATTAATTTCACTCAGGAAATACTGCTGCACACCAGGTGATGTTATAATAAAGCAAGTTTACAATCTAATGCTTTTTAGGCTCCTTATTACCCATTGTTTGAACTGTATGTCACTCCTACATCCCTACTGCTACCACTGATATTCACCTTTATTATTGTTATTATTATTCACCTCTCCTGGAAAAAAAAAAACAAGGCACACATGCCTTCATCCTGAATTAGGTGCTCTTAACAAATGACAAGTGTTAATTATGTGTTCCCCAAGGTTTTCTTTGTTAGTCTTGCACTTTTTGGGACCACAGCCCCATCGAGGCCATCAGGAAGCCCCTGCTGCCATTAGCTTTACACCCCAGTGCACTTGTGGGGTTTTTCTGTTTCTCCTCCAGTCAGAAGTGCATTTGTGGTTATTTCAGGCGGGTACTTCATAAGCACCACTCAACACTTTAAGAAGAGAGGGCAGCAATCATGTGCAGTGCAGCTTTGCTCACCTGTAGCCGTTCAGAGTGTCGACACAAAGGCCCCCGTTGAGGCAGGGGCTGCGGGGGTAGGAGGAGCAGGGCTGGTGCAGGCGCTCGCGGGCGGAGCAGGAGCAGAGCCCGTGGCTGGAGGCGCTCAGGGACACGAAGGACACGCTCCCCGTGTCCATCACCGTGGGGACGTCGCTCACGCTCAGGTGGTTTGTACAGCCCTCACTGCAGTTGGCGCTCCTGCACTCGTCAACATCGATCTGGGAAATGTTCAGTTGTAGAGCTGACTGCATCTAAGAGAAAAGACAGTACCACTGCCATCCAATGAAGGCTTTTACCTCAGTTCTGAAAAATCAAAGCCATCAGAGACTTAATGCAGTGTTTAGTTTCTTGAGAATAACTTAGAAACATCCCTGGTTATACAGGCAAGAAAAGTTATTTGAAAAACTCAGGAAACATTTAATTAAAAAAATACAGCAGCAGCATTTCGTAGAAACTTGATCATTGACATGATTGATTGTGAACATGTTGAATCTGTACGGGTCTAATAACATTATTTCCAAGAACCAAAGCTCTGAGAGCAGTGACACTCCTCAGAACTGCAGCATCTGCATTACACCTCTCTGCATGTCAACAGCAACAGGAATGTTTCAGCTCAAGACTGGGTAAATCCTTCCTCAGCAGTAACACCCAGATACTATTGCTTACATTCTCTCACACAAAATGATGCAGACACAGCAAAATGCAGAGCTGAACTGCTTTCAATAATCATGTCCACAGACAGTCACCTGACAAGACAACTTTGTAGTAACTTGGATTCAGTCTAATGATTTGTGCCCCATAAATTTACATTTCATGTCAAGCTGTCTGCAACAAAACACAGTCAGTTCAGCATACTGGATGCTGTATTCTATGCTGCGTTAACCTTTGCTAGTTCACTGTGTTTATTGTTAATTAGGGTTGCACCTGAAAGCCCAAGTACCAAATAAAAAGAGCCTCAGTATAACCTCAGCTCTGGTAATGTAGGAATAGTGACTCTGAGACCACAACTTCCATTCTAAATGGAGCAAGGAAGCTGGGAGGGAGGGATGGAAGGAGCTGCTTACCGTGTGAGACAAGAACAGAGCTGCCATTGGTCCTGGCTTTTTCTCCTTCAGCCTGCACCCCTAAATTATCACAGTTTGTTCCTTCCACTTATTTGGGAATTTTGCACAGGTGTCTGTTATAAAGCTTCAGAATGCGATCAGTATTTGGTGATTCAAATACACTGAAATGTGTATTTAGTACCCAAACCTGAGTTTGGGTGAGTGAGGCAAGAGACCTCACTACTCTCACAATGGTACACAAATAAACAAGGTATACAAATGTTAAACTAACAACACTAGAGCTTTAGGTATTTAATATGGAGTTTTTTTCCCAAATGGTAAAACACATGGCAGATATCTTAAACATAAGCTTTGAAAATATATTAAAAAAAAAACCCCAAAAACATAAAAAACATAAATATTAAAGTGCTTCTATTTTTTTTCTCATTTGTGTAGTCATCTCAGTTCACCACTGTCAGAACTTTGTTCTTTATAATCCTTTGTCTCTATATTCTTAAATATCATAACATATATTGCTGCCCACGCCCCCAAAGGCACAGAGTATACTTTGTAATGACATGATGCATCCTGTCAATGCAGGTCTCTGTCTGATGCCCACGTTTGTCACCATCAGTGGAGGGTCTGTAATGCACATTTAGACATCTAGGTAATCCTGTTATTGAACAACTGTATAAAAACAACCTTGGCTCCCTTTAAAAAGTATCAGGATGGATTATTTTTCTGCTAAATAAAAGTTGCTGTTGTAAAACTATATCCACAGAGGGTAATGCAAATATATTATTTATGTAGAAATTCAATGAATAATTCCAGTGCTAATTACTTATTTTCTATATTTATAGTTATACGCATAGAAAAATAACTGGAGGAATTCTCCAGCTATGATTGGTTTTCTGTAAACTATTGGTGATTACTCACCAGAGCTATTAATTAAATATCAAAAGGTGGCATATAATTCATAAAAACATATATTTTCATTAAAATAAGTGAGTAATCCCCTTGTTACCATTTGATGAATTCAGGTGTCATGCATTATGGCAGAGAATATTTGAAATCTATAGGATTTTCTATCTTATCGTAGCAGTAATTCAATAAATATGTAAAAGAAGCAGTCATTACCCTTCATGAATACTCTCTGTCTCTGGCATTCCCTATTTGGTCACTCTGAAGAATCTCA